ACACACACACACACACACACACGTTCGTTGGATAACAGGGTAGAGATGGCTCAAGGAATAAATGAAGCAGTTCTTCCACCTTAACTTATAAGGTGCAGTAAAGAATAACTTACAGCAGTTTGCGACTAGAAGTCAGTGCAGTAGTAATCTTTATCTATGAGAGAGAACGAGAGGGAGGAAGATATACAAAGAGGAGGATTTAACAGGAAGGAGATAGGGAGGAAGGGAAAGAAATAATGAGAGACAAAACGGAGAAGAAAAAAAATAGAGATATAGAAAGAACATGCGGGAGGAAGAAGAGGAAGGAAGAGAGACCGAGAGAGAGAACAAAAAAAAAGCAGGGATGAGGGGGGGGGGGAGGAGAGGGGGGGGTGGTGGGGGGAAGAGAACGGGATGGAAGGAGAACGGGATAAAGAAAACGAGAGGGATGGAAAACAGAAAGAAAATAAATTTTAATAGGGAATACTGCATGGATATAATACTGCGTTGGTTGCAGTGGACCAACGTGTCAACAGATCAGCGGCCAGCCAAATGCAATGTACGAATACAAAACAATGGGGAAAATATAACGGGTTGAAGTGACAACTGAAGAACAGTGAACGACACGAAAGGGGAATGAGAACACAAACGATGAACTCAGTGACAGAAACAAATGGTAATGACACAAATGAAGCAGCAATTGAACAAAACATGAAGGATAATAACAGATCACTATAACAAACACATACATCACAATGACGTGATAATGCCACATGAACAAATCCACAAGGGCACTGATGAGGGTTCGAACCCATGCACGTGATCTTGCCAGACGCGCTTTAGTCAGCTGTACCACCACATTACACAGTTAAAGCGCGTCTGGGAACACCCCGTGCTTAGGTTCGAACCCTCATCATTCCCCTCGTTTTGTTTAGATCACTACACGACTGGCTGAGGACCTGAGTGCTATGAGAAGCAGCATACGAAATATGAGCCAAGATGGTTAATAATTATATATAATATATAAAAATTCAGACATATATGGCAAAGACGAAGGCGCACATGTTGCAAAGAAGATGTATTTTGCAACAAAGAAGACTGTAACAAAGAAATCGTAATATACATCAACCGAAGTGACTGGGACGAAGCACAGTCACTAACAACAGACGACAAAGAAAGGGGGAAGAGAGAGACGGGGGAAAAAAGGAGACAGATCATAAAACTAAAAAAGTTGCAGACACAACTCTTGCAAGATGAAGAAGAAAGAAAATACGCTGCGTATCGCTCATAAAACTTGAAGCGTAACAGAGTGAACGAGAGATGTGGGAATGGGGGAGGGTGATGGTCTGCTGGTGATGAAGGGGGATGGTCTGCTGGTGATGAAGGGGGATGGTCTGCTGGTGATAGGGGGGATGGTCTGCTGGTGATAGGGGGGATGGTCTGCTGGTGATAGGGGGGGGATGGTCTGCTGGTGATGGGGGGGGGATGGTCTGCTGGTGATGGGGGGGGGGATGGTCTGCTGGTGATAGGGGGGGATGGTCTGCTGGTGATAGGGGGGGATGGTCTGCTGGTGATAGGGGGGGATGGTCTGCTGGTGATTGGGGGGGGGATGGTCTGCTGGTGATAGGGGGGGATGGTCTACTGGTAATGAAGGGATAATCTGCTGGTGATGAAGGGATAATCTTCTGGTGATGGGGATGGTCATCATCCATCACCACAGTGGTTATGAATTCAAAAGCTGAAAAAGTAATCTAAATAATGTCTATTCTCTTATCTAGTTTTATGCTCATTATAACTTGAGATCCCTCACAACAGTTATGTAATGAGGCTTGAAATATAGGTCGTAAAATTCGTTAATACTAGCGATGGGAAACGGCCTATTTAAAAGTAAGTGAAATATGGTTTCAGAGTCCGTAGACTTTATCGCCGTCGTATTCGACGCGATGACTTGCCGTATGTATCCAAGTGACGGGCTCTCTTTGATACCCTTCCCTCGCTAATGCCTCTCTATCACTGCCCTCCTCTCTAACATATATCTCTTCTTCCCCCTCTTTCTCCCCTCCATTCCCCCTCTCGCACTCAACGCAAATGGGATGCTCTCACATTCTATGCAGCACTAACACTGACTAATACAGAAAAATACCAACTTCCTCGCATCCATTTACAACCTCGGTCGAGTCATCATTAATCAGTACTAACAAAGAGCCACAGAATCCTCCACGCGTGAGCTTGTAATACCACTCCAGGATAACAGCGGCAGTACCACCCCCCAACAGAACAACCACCACCGCTACCACAACCATCAGAGCCACCATTACTGATGCCACAACCACAAACTACATGCGGGCTACCGCGAGAATGACAACTAGTATCAACTATTGTTACAAAACAAACTACTTTTAACTTATCAAATCCAAAACTTCAATAATCACCACCTCCGTAACTCGAAATATTACGACCACAATGACCACCACCACCTTAAAAAACGGCTATTACAACCTCCATAACCACTTCCAGAACTACCACAATTGCTCCTACGACCAGCCACCTCCCTCCACCAAAACGTCTATCACTGCTACCATAACCTTCCCTTCCTCAAGAACCACCCCAATTTCTACCTCCATACCTTGAGGTTACCTTGAGGTGCTTGCGGGGCTTAGCGTCCCTGCGGCTCGGTCGTCGACCAGGCCTCCTGGTTGCTGGATTGATCAACCAGGCTGTTAGGCGCAGCTGCTCGCCGCCTGACGTATGACCACCAACCATACCACCAACTCCACCAGAATTACCACCATTCTGGCCTCTATAGCCTCCTTTGTCTAAACCACCCCTGCTACTCCACAACTACCAACATCGCCAGAATCATAATAACCGTATTGTATTTTACACACCTATAATGGCTTCATAAATCTATCTAGATGTACCGGTTTCAACACAGATCTCCAAAGTTAGATGGATTTTTCATAGATCTTGTCTTAGCTGTACTGATTTCTACCCTGGTCTCGGTACCTGCGGTGGTTTCTACAAAGATCTCTGCATACAACTTTACTCAGATATTCAAACGTGGCTGTAGCCCTTCTGGTTTCCTTACTACAATGCATTTTTCCCTAATATTGCCCTATTACTATATATATATATATATATATATATATATATATATATATATATATATATATATATATATATATATAGTAGTTTAAGTTTGTGAGGGTACCACCTCTGGTGCCAATGTGGGGACCCATAGCCTCGGAGAAGAAAATAAAAAGTATTCAGAGGAGACCTTGTGGTTTCTCACTGAACACTAATATTATCTTCTCCTACCACCCCCATTCTTTTGTATGTACACATATATATTTGTTTTAATTGAACTTTGTTACAAAAAAGGAGTTACATATAGGTTACAAAGAGATATATATATATATATATATATATATATATATATATATATATATATATATATATATATATATATATATATATATATATATATATGGGGTTAAAGACTAGAGCTTCAATGAGAGAGAAGAGTTTTTTTTCTTTTGGGGGAGGGCCATGCATGGTTAAGAAATGAGGTCTGTGTGTTTCTCAGTGAGGGAGATGAGAGATGAGGTTCAGTTAGGGAGGTCCTCTTGGTTTATCTTAGTAGGGAGAACTGGGAGAGTGCATCGTAGCACTCACGGAACTCTGATTGATTAGTCCGAGTCAAGACTAATTATTTGTTTGTCAAAATTTTGATTTCCTTTTCTTCGTCAAGACACTGATACTTTGGGTCAAGATTCTGATTTCGAATACTGCGTCAAGATTCTGATTTCGAATACTGTGTCCAGATTCTAATTTCGAATACTGTGTCCAGATTCTAATTTCGAATACTGTGTCAAGATTCTGATTTTGAATACTGTGTCAAACTACTGATTTCGGATACTGTGCTATGCCACTGATTATTGAGACTGCCAAGACTGACTAAAGAGGTTGTATCAATATTCTTATTCATATAAATTTACATGTGCCATTTATAGATAAAATAAAAATAATATTACGTTCAAGAGCTAACTAAAATTTCCTCTCAGTAAAAGCATGCTTACATTGTCCAGTAAAAAATCCCAGTTTATGTTGTTTTCAGAATTACGTTGACAGCCGGGTTGTATGAATATGTAAAATAAAAGCTAATTTAAATGAAAAGACATTTAAATAAGTTTTGAAGTGGAATGAATTATCCTCATTGTAAACCTCAAAATGCAGAAATTTTCACGAATGTTGATTTGTTATACGTTGATATGATTGCCTATTATTTAACAGCAAAAAATTATATATATATATATATAATTATATATTATATATAATTATATATATAATTTAAAAGGAATTACAAATTTAGTTTCATGGGTATTTAAGGGCACGACTTAATAATTAAGAGAACGAGAATTGAAGGGAACAGAACTATCAGGAGAAAGCGCCAAACCATTTGGAATATAGCACTTGGTAGGGGTCAGAATAAGGAATTGGGATGGGACGGGGGGGGGGAAGGAATAGTGCCCAACCACTTGGATCGTCAGGGATTGAACGGCGACCTGCATGAAGCGAGACCGTCGCTCTACCGTCCAGCCCAAATGGTTGGGTCAGAATTGGAGAAAAATTCAATATCTGTACACCGGTTATCCCAAAAATATTAATCTTAAGTCTCCTGGGTGTCTATATATTATTTGTCTTCACATTATGACAGATTTTACACGATAACATTTTTAATTCAAGCTTTTTAATTACTTTTCTTGCTAATACTTATTTGGTATTTTCGTTGACATATGTATATTTTATAATTTCTTATAATAGATAACTTTTCTTATCACCGGCGCTACCTGCAGCAGATGAGCGCATGTGCAAGTGAAATTATTGACACTGTACGGAAGAATGAGTTGCAGCACCTGTGGGGGGAGGGAGGGCGGGAAGGAAGTAAGGATGGAATGAAGGAAGTAAGGATGGAATGAAGAAAGGAAGGAAAGAAGGAAGGAAGGAAGGAAGAGGGACCATCACCAGTGTAAGTAGTACCACCAGGAGTGGCAAGGAGCTAACAACAGTAAACCGAAAGGTGCAACAGAGGCTGGAGAAATAGCGCCAGCAACAGTGAATGGAGGAGAAGCGCCAGCAACAGTGGGTGGAGGAGAAGCGCCAGCAACAGTGGGTGGAGGAGAAGCGCCAGCAACAGTGGGTGGAGGAGAAGCGCCAGCAACAGTGGGTGGAGGAGAAGCGCCAGCAACAGTGGGTGGAGGAGTAGCGCCAGCAACAGTGGGTGGAGGAGTAGCGCCAGCAACAGTGGGTGGAGGAGTAGCGCCAGCAACAGTGGGTGGAGGAGTAGCGCCAGCAACAGTGGGTGGAGGAGAAGCACCAGCAACAGTGGGTGGAGGAGTAGCGCCAGCAACAGTGGGTGGAGGAGCAGCACCAGCAACAGTGGGTGGAGGAGAAAGACTGAAGAAAATTACACTGGCAATAACGTCCTTTAAATTAAGCTCAGGTTGATTTTAAAACTACAAAATTAATGTAAATTAGAGAGATAAATTAAAAAAAAGTTCTGAACAAACTTTCCCAAAAAAGCTTTGACTAATTATATAAAATGAATTTAATAGCCAGGCCGAGCAATACGAGGGGCAAGGCTGGACATTAATTAGAGAACGCCGAAATTAAATCGACGTCCCCAACTGCCCACACACAACCACGACATGAATAAATTCCCCGAGCATAGTTATCTCCTGCATTGTTATGTCCAGTATAGTTTGGTCCAGCATAGTTATGTCCAGCATAGTTAGGTCCAGCATAGTTAGGTCCAGCATCGTTATCTCCAGCATCGTTATCTCCTGCATAGTTAGGTCCAGCATAGTTAGGTCCAGCATAGTTAGGTCCAGCATAGTTAGGTCCAGCATAGTTAGGTCCAGCATAGTTAGGTCCAGCATAGTTAGGTCCAGCATCGTTAGGTCCAGCATAGTTAGGTCCAGCATAGTTAGGTCCAGCATAGTTAGGTCCAGCATAGTTAGGTCCAGCATAGTTAGGTCCAGCATAGTTAGGTCCAGCATAGTTAGGTCCAGCATAGTTAGGTCCAGCATAGTTAGGCCCAGCATAGTTAGGCCCAGCATAGTTATGTCCAGCATAGAGTGCTTCTTTAAACCTCTTCACCTTCATCATCCTCTTGTTTACCTTTAATTACTCACCATCTCACTATCAATCCAGGTAGGTAAGAGGAACGAGATATTCAGAACTGTTTAAGAGATTACCAAATGTAGTTACGACATATTAAAAAAAAATGCATTTAGGACAGTTCCTTATATTACGAAAGATTAACGAGACCATCGCTGGCAAAAATTATTTAGATTAATGAGAATGTATTGCTGGGAGAATAAATTCAGAGTAAATTTCATGCTGTTAATGCAGTAGGTCCGAAAAGCGGTGAAGAGAGGCATGTCGTGTAGTGGGGTCAGGTGGTGTGTGAGCGAAACATTGGCAAAAAACGACGTGTTCTGAAACATCTCATTCTTTGCTGGAAACACTAGACAGATGAATGAAGCATTCTACGAGGATCTTAATTAATCCTTTTCAAACCTGTGGTAATGCCATCACCAAAATCAAAAGCATCAGATCTACAACCACCACCATCACAACCGTCAGTATCAACAACACAAGCTTCACCATCATCACTTCATTCACCACAACCACTATAATTACCATTGCTATAATCATCACTATCCCTATGAACGCCTCTATTACAGCAACCACCACTACCCTCACTACGGAAATCAACTACTGCCACGATTACCACTACAAAATAATTGCCTCGACTGGTACCGCCATCACAAATGCCACCACCTCATTCAGCACCACTATTTGATCATCACCGCCATCATCAGAGTAAACACCCTAACACCATAACATAACACCTACTTAAACACCATAACCTCACCAGAGTAAAAATTAAAATTGAGAATGTAAGATCTGGGGAGTAAGACCTCAACAAAATCTTTGTTGAATCAGCAAAAGGTTAAGAGGGAAACAACATAATTAAGACATCACTGTCAGAGGTTTGTAAAAACGTCTCAAGTCATGAAATGTACAAGACAGAACCTGGAGAGGGAAAGGTCTGTGGTAATGTAACATGGCAGGGCCAGATGAAGACACAGGGCAAACAACGATAGAGAAACAAAAATGAAACCAGATTCTACTCAAAATTCAGGACGGAGATGCAACAAAGGAGATTGAGCATTTCTGCAGGCTAGATAGCTATAAAAGAAATCAACCAGGTTTGTAAAAGATAATTTCAACCATTACAATAAATTTATAGTGAAAGATATTTATATGGACATCTAGCTAGTTAAGTATATATTATCAGAAGATATATTTTCCTCATCCTCTCCGAAAAGAGAAAGGTGAGCAAATGCGTTAATAAATTTATAAATAGGCATTCTTGATGAAAATAGATATTCTTGATGGAAATAAATAATATACTTGATAGAAAAGAACCATCAAGTGATATTTTTGATGGTACTGTATACACAATAGACACGATATAACTCGGGAGGATAGGGAGGCAATAAAGAGAATGTTGGATGAAAAGTAAACGAGAATGCAAGACCAAGAATGGCTCAAACAGTGCACAGGAAGGAGATGAGCTGACATTAGAGAATACAGTACAGGGAAATAGTTGGGCTGAAAAATATAATGCAGTAATAGAGGGTACTATAGAGGGAGAGAGAGCAGGGCTGCCGAACCAAACGAGGCACTCACACAAGTGAGCCGGCGTGAGTGACTACAGCATCAGTCCCCTTTCCCTTGTCAGACATGGAAATTCAGCCATATGAAAAAATACCCCAAGTTCCCCATAAGGAACAGAATCAACTCAGATATGATGAGTAGTTTTAAATTAAATCAATGTACACAAATGCAGACGGAATCTATATAAATAAAAATGGAAATGCTCGTTTGTGCATAATCGCTAATCTCTGAAAGTTCTTCACCGATTCCTTTGAAATTTTCACACAATGTTCCATTCGCATCTGAGCAAGTTTTTATATACATATTATATAGATGTCACGTCTGTGACGGTAAATAAAAAAAAACATGCTTTTTCTGAAAAACTGTGTTTTTCATGTGAGGGAAATCTTCGAAGCCTCTTTACCGATTGCTTTGAAAATGTGACACAACATTGCATTCAAAATAGCGCGTCTTTTTATATTTCTACTGTATACATGCCTTACTTGTGACAGGAAAAAAACATGCTTTTATGAAAAACAGCGCCATCTGTTGGATGTAAGAGCAACACACGCTGTAATCTCCGAAAGTTCTTCACCGATTGCTTTGAAAATTTGACACAACGTTGCATTCAAATAGGTGCGTCTTTTTGTATACCTACTATATAGATGCCACCCCTCTGACAGGTAAAAACATGCGTTTTTGTAAAACAGCGCCATCTGTTGCACATGATAGCAACATGCACGCTATACTAAATATGTCACGAATTCCATTTCAATGTTTCCGATTGCATTGATAAATTTTATTTTCATAGATTTCAATTTATTTGATTTTTTATGGAATTATTTTGTGTGACATTGTGTTGGAATTCAGCTGTGTTGTTTACCATACCGTTCATTTTGTAAGTATAAGTATAGATGCCACACCTGTGACAGGTAAAACTATGCTTTTCTTGAAAAACAGCGCCATCTGTTGCATATAAGAATAACTCACATGCTATACTAAATATATTACAATTCCATTTCAATGTTTCTGATTGCATTGATAAATTGAATTTTCATAGATCTTTATTTATTTTCATTTTGATTTAATTATTTTGTGCGAATTGCGTTGGAATTGAGCTGTGTTGTTTACCATACCATTCATTTCGTGAGTATAGTTGATTTTTTCATATTTTCATTTATTTTTTTTAACTTTTTTTCTTATATTTCAGTGATGGGAACATCAGATCACTTGATATCCCCAATTTTCTGATGGGAACGTCAGACCATTTGGGAACGCATCGGACGAGGGAGTGGGGAATGGTGGGGATGACGATGGGACGGAAGTGAGAGATGGTGGGGAGGACGAGGGGACAAGGGAGGGGGTAATGGTGGGGAAGGACAAGGGGATGGGGGAATGGAAAGGGGATGGGGGAATGGAAAATGGGGAGAACAAAGGAACAGGGGAATGGGGCATAGTGGGAAGGAAGAGGGGGATGATGGAGTGGGGAATGGTTGGGAGGACGAGGGGATGCTGTAGTGGGGAATGGTGTGGAGGACGAGGAGTCGGGTGAGGGGGGAATGGTGGGGAGGACTGGGGGACAGGGAAAGTGGCTGTGGCCGGGTACTACTAGTAACAAAAAAAAGAGGTTTAGGTACAGCAAAAAGTGGCTGAAGAACAACCACACACGAACGCGATAACAGAAACGAAACTGACAATATAGGAAATACAATCATCCAGCTAGAATATCAATTATTAAGGAAAGCCAGGGTGAACAGAGGGGAGGGGCTGTAACCCTCCTACATCTGCATTGGTGTTGTGGAAAAAAATAAAAATAACAAGAGGAATCTGTCCAGTTTACGTACTGGTCAGTATATAAGTACCCAAAGAGGAGTACCAGTGGTAGACAGGATGGCAGTGTTCATCGATGATTTACAAACACCTACCAAACAATTCAGGGAAGAATACCAAAAATGCAACAAGAATTGTCTAAAAAGTATTGGGGGAAAAACGGGAACAAAAGCTAAAATTCTCATATTAGTAAATTTAAACCATAGAGAAATAAACGACATGTTGGATATATATCGACCCTCCCCCCCTCTTCCATAAGGACAATATGACAATGAGGGCAAAACTGACAGACATGTTGGAAAAACGGTTCTTAAAATGTCATATTACAGCACCAACAAAAAGAGGAAAGGATCCACCAGCATCTGATTTGCATCTGATTTCCAAAATTAATGCACACGATGAAAATATGTATTATGAGATACGTCTAGGTGCTAGCGACCACTGTATATTCATACATGAGTACATCGCAGAACCGATGGAGTAGGTAACACACACACACACACACACACACACACACACACACACACACACACACACACACACACACACACACACAGACCAAAGAGCCATAGCTCAACCCACGCCAGCACAATTAGGTGAGTACAATTAGGTGAGTACACACATAATTAAGCTATCTATCGCTGTTACGGGCTGCTTCCAGTGTGTGTGTGTGTGTGAGTGTGTGTGTGAGTGTGAGTGTGAGTGTGAGTGTGTGTGTGTGTGTGTGTGTGTGTGTGTGTGTGTGTGTGTGTGTGTGTGTGTGTGTGTGTGTGTGTGTGAGTGTGTGTGTGTGTGAGAGAGTGTGTGTGTGTGTGAGTGTGAGTGTGTGTGAGAGAGTGTGTGAGTGTGAGAGTGTGTGTGTGTGAGAGTGTGTGTGTGAGAGTGTGTGTGTGTGAGAGTGTGTGTGTGTGAGTGTGTGTGTGTGAGAGTGTGTGAGAGTGTGTGTGTGAATGTGTGTGTGTGAGAGTGTGTGTGTGAGAGTGTGTGTGTGTGAGAGTGTGTGTGTGTGAGTGTGTGTGTGTGTGTGTGTGTGTGTGTGTGTGTGTGTGTGTGTGTGTGTGTGTGTGTGTGTGTGTGTGTGTGTGTGTGAGTAAAAAAAAAATCGTAGTTAGTAACAATTGATTGACAGTTGAGAAGCGGGACCAAAGAACGAGAGCTCAACCCCCGCAAGCACAACTAGATAAGTACAACTAGGAAAGTACACACCTGTTGAAGAGATTATAGACGTGGATACTACATGAAGTCCAATTGGAGAGAGGGATAGGGAGGGAATGATCTTTGGAACGCACCAAGCCATTACGATTATATAACACTTGAAGGAACCAAGATGAGGATTTGGGATGGGACGGGGGGGGGAGGGGAAAGAATCATGCCCAAACACTTGGACGGTCGGGAATTGAACGTTGACCTGCATTAAGGGAGACCGTCGCTCTACCTTCCAGCCCAAGTGCATGGGAGAGAGACTAGAAAGGGACGACAAATGAGGTGATGGAATGTATTGCCTTAAAATGTTCCGATACAGTGGAGTAGTTTATATCACCGAAAATAGAGGGAGATGAAGTAAACCAAAATGATAAAAATAATGATAAACCAAGACAAAATGATAAAAAAAAAATGCTGGAAAAATGTACAGAGAACTTGGAACATGATATTAGAAAACCCGAAATGAATACACCCGAGTTAGGAGAGAAGCTGAGAGGCAATCTGATAATTACACTGATACAAAAGCTTAGGACTAACCAAAGCTGTTCCACAGCTATGTAAAGAAAAAAAAACAGTGGAAGACCAAGTAGTCAGATTGAGGAGACAAGGGGGAAATTTTAACAGAAAATGATGAGGAAATATGAGAAACTGAACAACAGATTTCATGTGTTCTTTACAATAGCTCAAGCATGGAGATCAAGATGGCAGAAAGAATGTCTGAAAAACAATGACATTGCAGTTACTATAGAAGCGTGAAAAAGAAAATCACGTAAATGAAATATATAAGACAGTTTGCGGGATAAAACCTTATCTAACCCAGAGATATTGAAGGACGCTAGAGAAGTGCTTAATCACCCAATATAAATTTTTGTTAATAACACTCTTTAATAGAAAATCTTGTAGAACTTGGAAGAAAGGCGAACGTAGTGTCAATACTCCAAAAAAGGGGATACACAACAGGCTAATCAGGTTAAGAATAACTCAACATTTGGAGAGGAACAGATATGGAAAAAAAGGGTGATCATTGATTTAGAAAGGGAAAGTCGTGTCTGAGGAGCGAGAGAGTTTTTTATGACAAGGTTACTAAGATAAAACAGATACAAGATGGTTAGGTATATTGTATTTTCCTTAAATGTTGAAAAGCATTAGAGACTGTTCCTCGTGAAAGGTTGGTGTACAGATGGAGAAGCAGGTTGGGATAACTGGGGAAAACACTGATATGTGTAAGGGAGTATCTGAAGGAAAAACAGAACAAAGCCACATTAACAGAGAAGCTTTCAAACAGGAGAGGTGGGGCGGGAGGGTGTCCTTAAAGCTTGGTCCTGGAAGTACTCTTCTTCGTAATTTATGTGAACGACTTGCTCGAGAAAGTGAGCCCGTACAAGTCAGTTTGCAGATTAAATTAAGCTGAATATGACTGTGAAAACAGAGGACGGCAGCATTGGTAACACACTTGCTCAACGCCTCGCGAACGATGTGTCTAGGATCGACTCCTGGTCAGGAGTCAGCGCCCATCCACTTACGCTAGACAGTAGAACGATGGTCTCACTTCATGCAGGTCGGCGTTATATCTCAGACCGTCCAAGTGGTTGGGCACCGTTTCTTTCCCCCGTCCCATTTCAAATCCTTATCCCTTCCAAGTGCTATATAGTCGTATATAAAGAGTATTGACTCTTTTTCATAATTTTCTTCCCTTCCTGGTCCGAAAGGATTGTCTGGGCGTCAATTCTTAACTGTTATCAGCTGTTCACACAGCAGTAAATGATTGTCACCTGATTGATAACCGATTGGTGGGTCGTGTTCTATGGAAACCTAGTGGATAAGGCTTACTTCGAGATCTAGGTAAGGCTTACCATTAGCTATGGGAAGGTAAAGCTCTAAGCCTGCTAACAGCATTCAGAAGTTGTCTGTTCTTGTATTCAAGTGTGTAAAAAAGTTTAAGTTAATGAAAAGGGGAATGGAAGAGAGGAGACCAGAAGGTATCTACACCAGAGACGAACGGCAAATACGGGATTCTGAATGATTTAACAGTAGATACGACTCTAATACTAACATCAGAGGCCCACTTTAACAAGGAAATATCGGCCGCATATTTTTCAGCATAAATAGACTGATAAATGATAAAATATACATCTTCAACTTTAAGGACAGATTTGACAAAATAAATAGAACGACTGAATAGTTAAATTATAACATAACAAGTATAACAAGGCGTGTAGCCGTGCCTTAAAAGCTAGACACGTCTCTCCTGTAGTTACTGATAGGTAAATACCGTCACTACCACCACCACTGCCACAGGTAACACCATCATAACCGTTACCGTCACAACTGCCGCCACCACCACCGCTACCATCATCACTGCTAGCACCACCACCACCACAAGCACCGCTATCATCACTGCTAGCACCACCACCACCACCGCAAGCACTGCAACCACCGCTACCATCATCACTCCCACCACCACCGCCAGCACTACAACCATAGCTACCATCACTGCTAGCACCACCATCACTGCTAGCACCACCATCACTGCTAGCACGACCACCACCACCATCACTTCTAGCACCACCACAATCACTGCTAGCACCACCAGCACCATCACTGCTAGCACCACCACCATCACTGCTAGCACCACCACCACCACCACCCTCACTGCTAGCACCACCACCACCATCACTGCTAGCACCACCACCATCACTGCTAGCACCACCACCACCACCCTCACTGCTAGCACCACCACCACCACCACTGCTAGCACCACCACCACCACTGCTAGCACCACCACCACCACCACCATCACTGCTAGCACCACCACCACCACCATCACTGTTAGCACCACCATCACCACCACCATCATCACTGCTAGCACCACCACCACCATCACTGCTAGCACCACCACCACCACCACCATCACTGCTACCACCACCACCACCACCACCCCACTTTAAGCACACTTCATTAGCCTATTTATTTACTTACCAGGTTTTTGCCTGGCTAACGCGAGTCAGCCAGGCTTTATGCATTAAAATATTAGAGACCCGTAATGAGACTCTCCAGAGAGAATGAAGATAAATTTTCAGAAACACTCAAGCAAGAAACAGACCAAAATATTCCAACCTTTACATATAAACTGCAGTAAGGTAAACACATGCTTTTTCGTCGCATATAGATCTCGTGAACCTATTTGACTGTTATACAGATATATCAGTCACTTGACAACCTGATGCCAAAACTCAAGGGTCTAAGCATCCATAGTATCTGGTTTTTCGTTTATATCGGGGGTGGTGTTCAATCCCCGATAGTCTAAGTGGTTGGGCATCATTCCTTCCCTCCGTCCCATCTCAAATCCTTATCCTGACCCCTTTCAAGTGTTATATATGTCGTAATGGCTTGGAGGTTTCCCCCTGATAATTCTCTCTCTCGGTAGTGTTTCGTTTAGATTGTGACAGGAATATTGTTGTTTTGTTGCTATTTCTAGCGTAGGTTTTTGTACATTGTACCAGTGGAAAACAGGTACATTGTACCAGTGGAAAACAGGTACATTGTACCTGTTGCTGGAAAAACAATTTTCTTATGGTAATGAGTAGGCTACGTTTTTTCTTGACACTCCACTGATGGTTGGATTTTTTTGTAACATTTTAATTATTCCTGCTTTTTATCTTATGGTTTTTCCAGTCTTCATGCTCACGCCAGTTAACTACACACGGATTATACAGCCCCGCCGAACATTATGAAGCACTGATAACAGCTGTATCAATGTATTTTTGTCCAAATCACCTGACTATATATTTTTGTCTATCAATGTGACCTTCCTTAAGACTGTATGCCAAGCAACCCCATCTTCCAGGGTGTTTACCAGCCTGGTCTTTGACATGTTCTTTGTTCTCCTCAAGAACTAGTTCTCGGACTGCTTTATAATTTATGTTCTTCAGCATCATGATCTCATACAAGATCCTCATAATTTGTTTTGCTCACATTCACACTGTATCAGTACATTTAAAAAACATACGAATACAAATAGAATTTTTAAATATTCCATCATACGAAGTTGCACTTCATCGATGCTATGAAATAGTAGCAGAGAATACGATAAGTAAAGCATTTATACATAGCTGTATTCAGCTTATATTTGTATGCGCGAAGACAAACCATCTCAGCCACTTGTATTAAATATATATATATATATATATATATATATATATATATATATATATATATATATATATATATATATATATAAAATAAGAAGCCACAGCTTTGCTGGAGGCAGCGACAACCCCCAATGATCGTGCACGCCTCACAGCTGTGCAGGCTACCCATGCAGGGGACTTCCTTCTGGCAGTCCCCATGTCTGCGACAGGCACACGTCTTGATCCGCAGGAGCTCCGTATTGCAGTCGCTCTCCGTCGTGCTGCCCCTATCCACTGTTCATAGGTGTATTTGCGGCGAGGCAGATGCTGACGAATATGGACTGCATGGCCTGCACTGTGGAAAATCTGGTGGTTGGCACACTAGACACGACGAAGTCAACGACATCATTAAAAGAAGCCTTGCCTCTGCTCAGTGTCCAGCGGAGAGAGAGCCCCGCAACCTACTGAACCGAGACTGTTAGCTTTGCCGGCCGACCAGACGGAATCACATTGCGTCCGTGGAAGGGTGGCAGGCAGTTGGCATGGGACTATACTTGCGTATCCACCCTGGCAATGACATACATCACCCTCTCTGCTGGCACAGCAGGAGCCGCAGCGACACAGAAAAACAAAAGTCAGTCAAGTACAGGCAATTAGATCATCGGTACAACTTCGTTCCAATAGGGTCTGAGACCCTAGGCCCATGGGCACGCCAGTTAACTACACACGGATTATACAGCCCCGCCGAACATTATGAAGCACTGATAACAGCTGTATCAATGTATTTTTGTCCAAATCACCTGACTATATATTTTTGTCTATCAATGTGACCTTCCTTAAGACTGTATGCCAAGCAACCCCATCTTCCAGGGTGTTTACCAGCCTGGTCTTTGACATGTTCTTTGTTCTCCTCAAGAACTAGTTCTCGGACTGCTTTAAAATTTATGTTCTTCAGCATCATGAT